ACTTCCAACATGAATCTTCCTCGAAATCTTCGTTATCAGCTCCTCAAGAGTTATGTTTCTCTCGAATGACATTTTAACACGCTCATTTGATACGAAAACAACGCCTGTTTCATCTTCTCGAATTTCACCATCATAATAAACAATAGCTGAAAGTCGCGCTATTATTTGAGTTTAAAAGTGCGGCACTATTATATTTGTAAAAAAAATAAATGAAACAAATCTGATTTAATAAATTATATATAAACGAACATATAACACAATAAAATTTTTACACATCAACGTAAATAAATTAAATAATATAATTTAATATTATTACATGCACCGCAAAACTATTTCGACGTATGATCCCGCTTTTCAATTTTACAAACACAAATATTAATTAAAAATAATTAGTATAATATTTTTTTTCAAATAATCATAATAAACAATAAATAAAAAAAATTATAACAAAATTACCTTATAACGAAAAATCACACGAACTTCTAAATAAAATATGAGAAGATTGCCAGAATTATTGACTCGTTGACGAAATTGTTGTATTAATTTATAAGTTGAGAGGAGAGATGTGAGAAATTAACCGGCAGAGAATGATATTTATAGCGAGGAAAGTTATACAAAACGCGGTACATGCCTCGCGTTATATAAAATTATGTCAGGAGTAAAGGTATGTCGTGGTACCTGTCCCGCGCTATATAAAATTATGCAATAAAGGTATAGCGCGGTACCTGATCCGCGCTATACCCCTACGTGACGTATAGCGCGCTGCAGGGCCGCGTTATACCCACGTGGCTCCAGCTCACCATATAGCGCGGTACATGGAGCACGCTATACCCCACGTAATACCAAATCATCGTATAACGCGGTGCATGAGACTCGCTTTACTGCTAAGGGTGTTAGATCGAAAAATATAGTCTGACCGATGTTAGATCGATAATATTACCTGTCACTGATGATATATTAGAAAAATCGTCAATTTTAAAATCTCTATTTATCTCAACTCCACTCAAAAATATTTTAAATCAAATTTAATATATAAAATAATAATCACCAAACTAGAATTTTTTTAGCTCTGCTCAGAACCCTCTCTCACCTGTAGCCCTCCCTAAAAACTCCAAACAAAGAACAACTCAGATAAGGGAAAACCCTGAAGCGCAAACCGTAGCAAAAAATGGCGAACCTGAAGTCGGCTATAGACTGTGCATTTTGGGATCAGAGTGTATCCACCCCACAGACTTTGGAAGGCTCCGCCAAGTCAATTCCAGGTGAGCCATTCCCGTTGGACGGAGCTCGAGCCAGCAAGGCCCTCCGAATTCAGCAACTTTCGCTTCTCAGAAATGGTTTCCCTTTGGGTATCATTCCTTCTATCTCTCTTCCCTCACACAAAGACTTGGGTTTTCTCTCTCTTCAATCTCTCCTGCTCAGGCCTTCCACTTCTAACTGGTATTCTTCGCTCCATTTTATCTTAGAAAAATAGGAGAATTTTATGTGTTGTTGCAAAAACCGACGAAATTGGTTCATATTCAAATTTGAGCATATTTTTCCCATTTGCTTCTGTTGTTCTTGGTTTTGGATTTGCCTGCCGGTGCTAGTCACCTCTACCTGCTGAGGTTTACAGAATGAAACAATCACACAACTATGGGAGAGAGCAGTTAGTGTACAGTTCGCTAAGTTCTTGAAGATTAATGTGGGATTGATACGTCGATATGTAAACCGGCAATCGTCAGTGGCGGTGCCATTGATTTTAAGCTGCTAAACTCCTTTGAAACTGGGTTCGGGATCTTTCCTCTACTGTTGCTGCGTATCCATCGCAATTCCATGAATTTGGATGGAAAAGCAGCAGCAGTAGCAGCCCGAATCGTTATTATCTGTGTCGAAGTGGTGTTAATAATTATTTTGCTACAAACTGGTCACTTCAGTTATCAAATGCTTTGATTTTTTTCTCCTGTAGGTGGATTGGATTAATCGGTCAGTTTAAGCCAAAGAAACTGGTCTCCGCTGTTAAAAAGGAACTCCTGAGTGCTGATGAGTTGGAACTCTCTGTTTTCCGGGATGCAGCCAAGCATTTTCTTGACAAGTCTCTGTATTCAATTGCATTAGCCACACAGCTTTCATTGTCTCCTTCTACATCCTTATTGTGGAACACGGAGCGGCTGGGGGGGAAGAAAGGCTATCGCAACAAGTTTAAGATCTATCACCAGGCAAGCAGTTCAACTCCATTCACCTTAATATATATTGCACGCATTCATACTTGTATTAGTGTTCAGATACAAAATTTTGAATCCAAACTTTAGTTGCTTTGCTTGTGTTCAAATTCAAAACCCCAAATAAGAAGTTTAGCAAATTAAATTCTCAAGCCTAATTCTGTTTCAGAATCACAAAGTTTGATGCTTGTTATGTAAGTAATTTCAAAGAGAGATGTGGTACTTATAACTAGTTTGAATTCTCAAGCCTAATTCTGTTTCAGTGTTTCTTCTTTCAAGATGGTGAGTGAGTTTTTTTTTTTAATTATGTTTATGGCATCACTTGTGTATTTACAGCTTCCTGATCATGATATCACACTGGATGCTGCGTGGCCTGAGCTTTTCATGGACCATAAAGGAAAATATTGGGAGGTTCCAGAATCAATATCCTTAGACATGTCTTCTCTTCCTTCTGACTCAGGGTTTCAATATCGTTTTGGTCTGCACAAAAACAATGGCCATCCCCTGGTTCTCAATGAACTTGATGGTGAGGCACCTTCTGCCTTAATGCCTGGATTATGCGCAAAGGCTGCATTTTCTTATCAGAAGAGCAAGGATATTTGGAGGCGAAACGAGACAAAAGAGGATCTCTTCGTGAAGACAGAAAAAGGTTCAATTTGGCGACCGTCATATGATGTGTGTCTTAAAGAACCTCATGCTGCGATATCGGGAATTATAGGTATGTTTTCCCTAACTGCCCCTGTGGTGACCTTGAAAATTTTTGCACCTGATATGGCAAGACTAGTAGTACCAATATTACCATTATAAGGTACCCTCTGCCATTATTTCATATTATATTTTAGATTATTCTATCAGACCAAATCCATGAAGGAAATTGTTAATATTAATCTTGTTTGGTTGTGGGAAGGGTTAACAGTATTGAGAAACAAGTTATTCACACTAGTGATAAGGTTTCATTTGTTTGCGCCTTTTGATTTATTTTGGAGAAGGTTTCCTATCCAAACTATACTTTTCTTGCTTCTAGGAGGCACGTGTGCAGCCTGGTTTGGTAAAGACTCCGCAAATGTTGAATCACAGAGGGAGGATACAATACCTACAAGCAATAACAAGAGAAGCCCTTTGAATGCGGATTTATTTGGTTCAGCTTGCTATACTTTTCAGCAAGGACAGTTTCGTAAGCTATATGGTGATCTAACTCGAGTTGATGCTCGTTTGGACATATCTTCACTCTCATCATTTTCCAAAAGAGTTTTCAAGGGTTCTTCTAGTGCAGACAAATCTCTATCATCTCCCAGACTGAATTTGATCTTTCAACAGCAGGTAATTTTGCCCAACCCCCTGCTTGATTATTTCTTTATTTTATCGTGTTTTATTTTTCTAATGGGAACACATCGGATAGATTGATAGATGGTGACCTTTTTCTAGCTTCTTTCACAATTCTCCTGCATGTTTTATGGAGTCATTGATGAAAAAGCTTTAGAACCGAAGAGAATACATTAGCATACATTTAACCTAGTTGGTGTCAATTGATAGATATATAAGGCCATTTATCGAGGGACCTCTTAGACTGGATAGGTGGGCACTGAAATGATGATTCAGATGCAAGTTTACTGTGAAACTGCTGAGACCATTATTGAATTCTGGTAGTTACTGCATATAAATCTCACATGGCATAGGTGAGAAATATTTACTGTTTGGGATGCAGGTTGCGGGGCCGATTGTGTTTCGAGTGGATTCAAAGTTGTTGCTTGATTCTAAAGCCGGGAAACGAGGCCCTCATATCGAAGACGTCATATACAGTTTGTGCTACTCATTGAGGCTTCTGCGTTCTGGAAAAGTTGTTGCTTGGTATTCTCCAAAGAGAAAGGAAGGGATGATCGAATTGCGCCTTTTTGAATTCTAAATCATGTTGTGTCATCCTATAGTTTCCAATGATTGTTTCTGTTCAGAACACACAATCTATCTTGTGGGGGCAAATATTTTTAACATTAGCATATTTCTTCTGAGATTGTTGTCAAGTATAGCAGCTGAAATATCATCTTTATTGCCCTTTTTGTTTAATTTGCTTCAGCCTATATCAAAGGTTTAGGGCAAGCAGGAGGCTGTTGATGAATAGAAAACATATTACTAAAACACGGCCAAAACTATTTTTTTATATATCCGCCAAAGTGTTTTGAGTACGAGCAAAACAATTGTTAAAGCTGTCTTAGTGCACTTGCCAACCAAAAACAATGATGATTTCAAGGGGCTATCTAAGGAGAGGTAGGTTCATAGCGGTTTTTCTGGTTATGAAACCACTGCTACTACAGTTTCATGGACCTCAGATGCAGAGATTGTACGGTTCGTGGTGGTGCTGAGCTGCTTTAAACTTGTAAAGACGGCCTTCCAGATGCTAATAAGCTTAGAAACATGAAGACGGTATGTTAATAAAACAAGCTCAGCATTGATCGTTGATTTGTATGCTTTAATATTTGTTTCCCAACTTGGCAGCTCACAATGGTCATTAAGAGACATTACGCCTATACCCCCCTGCAACATTTGTGATAAGCGTTGGAAGACATTGATTTCAAAGGCATCACTATTCCAAAAGGTTAAAAGACGTTGATTTCAAAGGCAACGAAAGCATATCAAAGAGACATCAGAAAGATGGTTTGCAAGATACTGAATAAAAAACTTGGCCAATGCTGTTATCGATGCATATCGGAAATCAATTGTTATCCATCTGAATAAGAATGGTTCTTCATTTGGAAGTAAGGGAAGAAACTAAAGAAACGATTCGGAATACTTTGCACACTCTACTTCAACGGAAACTCAAGATGTATACCATAGCTGAGTTGAACACAGTCGTTATTATTCCACACAAACAGAAAACATCCCTAAAATATTTCAATGCTCCATAAAATGGTCTCCCGATATACAGATTCTGAGTCTAGTATCAGTTAACCCTATTAACTCATAACTTCACCTTCATGAACATGGAAGAAAATCTCAAGAGGGATTTCAGCAGAAAAAAGACCGACTCTTGTTACGTTCCAAATGAGCTTCCCTCTGGCAAATGCAAGAAAAAAAGAATAATTGTGATGTTCAATGCATTGTAGCCATTTGCAGCTTGCTCAAGCATGCAAAGATAAAAGCTATTGGCAAACCAAATGGGGATAAAAATGAGAGAGAAAAGGAATACCTCCTTTTTCTTGTTCTTGGCATTTACTCTTGTCGGAGCCGTATTCTTCCAGACCTGAAGATCAACAGTTGTAGATTAAAATTTTGGCCAAATTTGATAAAAATATTTCTATTTCAAATGAAAAAGGTTATGAAATTGATGGGAACTGGTTAAGGATAACAAATAATCATATTTGCTTTGAAGCACCATAATTTTTCTTCCTTGTTCCATGTGTGAAAGTGATCCAATAAGTTACAAATACTATATTAGAGCAACCAACCTACTCATCAATAGGTAACAAACATTATCACGTAAAACCAAGGTGCACAAATCAAGTTACCTCAGTGGTTAAAGGCATGGTTTTCATTCCTAGATGTCATAGGTTCGAGCATCAAATTTGTAAGCTTGTGACTCCCTCTTTTCTCCCCTCTATCGTAGGTAAAGATCTAGTAATCCCAAGTGCTATTTTTATCACTCTGCAACCAGAAGTTCTAATGCAGGGAACCTCTTTATAGTATAGCAAAAGAAATCTTTCCAGAACCTCCGATATTTGACCCGCTAGAATTTAAGAATCAGGATAGGTTAAAGGGTCTTTGGGTCATCGTAGCTTCTATCATTCTCAGTATAGTCCTTTCTGAATCTGTTTCACAGTGTTCGAACTCCTCTTATATAGACCTCCAATGGTACAAGTCTACAAGATAGATAGGATTTATAGCTAGCTAAAATGAGAAAGATTGAAGTAGCTCAGTGGTAGGGTGGTCGGAGCTAAGGTCGTAGGTTAAATTCCTACTTGAGGTCTATGTACTCGGAATCTCATATACAACCATTGTTATGGACTAAAATCTTACATATCAGGAGAAAGAAGCGAATGCACTGCCAAAAGGGGAGATGAAAAAAGGGTTGGTAATCCGCTATTCTAAAAGAACTCTCTCTCACTTTCTTTCCTTAGTTCTCCACAAATTGCTCTGCAACTCAAACTCCAACTAGATCCCTTTTTCTAGAAACTCCATTACTACTCTGGCCTTCAAGTTCACACTTGAAAGCACAGTAAGTGGAAGGCTGCTTGCTCTTCTAGCTAAGAATGAGTTCCTTCTTTTCTTGCTTCTGAGAAAGCGAGGGATAATTGCAGCTCTTGTTGTTCATGCTCTAAAGCGATTAGTCTCAGGTTACCGCAGGAAAGCGGTGATCGGCATCCAGTCTTCCCAATCATCCAAGACTAAGAAGAAAGCCTCACTCCAATCCTCAACAGAAAAAGGGAAGTTCTACTTTAATCCCTGTTTTTTAGTGAAAAATGGTATGGTATCACCAACTCTGTTATACATTCAGAAGGCGAAGACAATTTAACCCGGGGCTTTTAGTCGTTGTTGAATTGCTACTGCTACTAGTACTAGTTTTCGGTTAAAGCAGTAAGCAGGAGCGAAACTCGAAATAGCTCGACTGAAAGGAGAAGAACGATCCTGGTAATTTTTTTACAAGTTTCCTCGATCAATTGTATACATTCTGCATTTAGAAGCCATTGTTGAACCCCCTTTAACTGTTGCCAAAGCGAGCAGTCCCCCCAACTAGTTTAGGGGGGCCTTTTTTTTTCTCATTTCTATTTCTCTAATACCTAACTAATGATTCAAATTAATCAATAACGAATTATTTGATGAGATAAGGGGAAAATAGAGATTTTGTTAGTGGAGTCCAAGATTTAAGAGAATCAACTTACATTTGAGAGAGGCCGTGTATTGTGGGAAGCACAGGAAATCGGCGATCCTGGCCGCACTCGGGTAAGGCGGTGTTGCAGCTGTTGATGTCATTGTCTCTCTCTCCTCTCACTATTTTCCCGGGAAAGATGGAACCTTCGTTTCGTCAGACTTTAAGGAAGTACTCTCTTGCACTATTCATCTCAAATCCATTTCTAACCTTTTCGGATCTGAATATTCCATTCTTATTGAAACCTTTTTAGCCCGATAAATATTTTTGGTGGATTCGATTGTAATAATGTTTTAAGAAAATAATAATAATTTTGATTTGAATAACATTTTACTTTGAGTCAAAACGACCTTTGATTAGATGAAAAATGTCATTTGATAATGTTTGTTGTTAAGGTAACACGTCTTATATATCTTAGTGAATAAGTGATGATGTGATATTATCACATGCATATAATTTATCACGTTACATATGTCATATGTCTAAAGTGATAATATGACATATGTTATAAAATAATAATAAAATATATTTTCAAGATAAAAATAAAATATATATTTTAAGTTAAGATAAGAACAAAATATACGTAATAAGTTAAGTGAAAAGATAATATATATTTTTAAAGTTAATATATGAATTTAAGTTAAGATATAAAACACGAATTAAGTGAGTTCAGTAGTAAATGAATTGTTGTTCTTATATACAAAGAAATATATATTTAAATATGACTATCGACTATTTGATATTGAAATCTTCTTAATTTCTTTCTCTTCTCTAAACCATTGTTTGCTCATTTTTTTTTCGTATTTGATTGGTAGCCAGCAACATCAACGTTAGTTTTGATTGTTGTTATTGATATTTATTTTTTTTATTTTTTTATCTCACATTTTTTTGTCTTTCTTTTGTTTTTAATATTTTTTTATTAAATGATTCTTTTTGTCTTTATGACATATTTTATTTATTTTTTGGCACATTTTCAGTTTTCTTTTTTATTCATTTGACCATTATTGTCATTTATTTTTTCTCATGTTTTGATTTGACGTCGTCGTGACCGATTAAGATAACACTCATTTATTATCATACTAATATTATCTGTTTTGAATTATCGAATTGGATTTGGATACACTACATACGCTTGTAGATATTTTCCTCACGATATTTGGTTTTGATTACGTTTGCCGATGGTATTTCAATAATTAAATCATTTGTTATGATTTGTTTGTTGTAGCAATAAAAAATTGTTCATATCTACCTATTGTTCGAGTTTGGTTGGAATAAAGTTTCACATTTTTCTTGTATGGTTCGTGTAAGATCTTAAATGACTAATTTTTTTTGTTAATGATTATAAAAAATATCTTAAATTCTTAATTATGTGTTTAGTTACACAAATCTAGTTGTAAAAATTTATTGTTATTTTGGATTTTTTGGGTAGAGAGAGAGAGAGAGAATAATCAAAACCTATAATTAAATGATTAAATGTATAATTTATCTTTAAAATATATGAAAATAATAACTTTTAGAGTTGGAGATAATCTTTCCTGCAATGTCTTAATCGATTGAGTGATCAATGATACTTATATTGTATATTATTTCTCTACTTAATTAAAAAAAGAACTTTCATCTCAATATGTTTTTATGAATTTTATGTCAAACAAAGGACAATCGAACAAAGTTTTTAATTGAGGTTTTGTTTGTTTTACTGTAGATCTATAATTGATTTTACTTTTTTTCTTTTATATTTTTTGAAAAATAATTTACGATCTGATTTTTTAAGTTATTTTTAAAATTTTCACTTCAAAGCCTAAGTACTAAAATTAATGTTATTTTATGTATTTCATATTAATATAATATTTTAATATTATTTTAATAAAAATATAATTATTAAAATATATTTAACATAAAATTTCTATTTTTTCACTTTTTGTTTTCTTATTATATTGTAAGTTAAGTTTTGAAATATCTATTTTGATACTTGTATTACTAATACTTAAAGAACATAAATAAAATAAAGATGATTTTTTTAACAAAAAAAAAATTAGCAAAAAAAATCTAATAAATATTATTTTATTAAACTATAAAGAAAAGTAAATATTCTTTTACAACTAAAATTAATCTAAAACAAAATAAAAAATCTAATAAATAATATAAAAATTAGAAAATATTTATGTATTTTATTATTTAAAAAGGAATTTACCTTTCCTTCCTCCTATGTTTCCCCGACATTGGATAGAGAGAAAACAAAGGCATCTTATCTTACCACAGGAAAAAAAATAGTTGCAAAAAGCCAGTCTTTTACTTTACTTTCTCTCTGCTTGCCTCCGTTCAAACACATTGTAAAGGTACACTATCTTCCTTCTCCGTTTCTCTCTATCATCTTGCATTTGCTTTCTTCTGTTTCTGTTGTTTTAATTTCGATCAAATCGTTTTTGTTTTGGGGGAAACTATTAAGTCTAGAAATGCCCTCACTTTTAGTGGTTGATTGTTTAATTTGTTTATTTTTGTGATTTTGATCACCTTGTTGCCTCAATTCTCTCTTTGTTTTCTGTGTATTTCGGGCATCGATTTATCGCACTTTTAACCCTAAACCCTGTTGTTGATTTTCTGTTTAGATGAATGTGGAGAGGCTCACGAAAATGGCTGGTGCGGTTCGCACTGGTGGGAAGGGTAGCATGAGGAGGTATGTTCCTGGTTTGAATCTTCCTTTGTAGGTTAGCTATAGTGTGTAGATTTTTGGGATTTTTCGAGCTGGTGAGAAAAGCTCGACTAGAAAAAATCGAACTTTTCGACTCCACTCGACCTGAAAAGCTCAACTTGATTTGACTCAACAAAAAAATTTCCAATCTGAGTTGAGTTATAAAATAGAACTCGAATAGTTCAAAATTTGTAATAATTTGGATTGGTTTTCAAGTTTGAATTTTATCCCTCAACTCTGCATGATGTATATATTTCACATATGAAAAAATATGAAGAAATATATTTGTATATCGTATAGCTGTAGGAGTTTTTGGAGTGGCTATGAACTGTGTCTTGGATTGTAGAAAGATCTGGGATTGTAGAGGGATTAACAGGCATTACATTAGTTTTAATGATGTGATTTCATGAACAAGAAGAGCATCCGAGTGTTTTGATCAGTGTGATCTGGCTTCGTTTGGTGGGGACAGAAGGGGACATTGATTGTTGACTCCATGATGCATTTTTATGTTAACCTTAATATCGGTATAAAAATATAAACTCAGGGAAGGAGTTGCTGTCATGTCTTCAAAGATGCAACTTTGAATTGCATAAATGTGAATACTGAATGCTCAGCTCACTCCAACATTGCACAGTTTAATACTTTAATTGTAGAGAAATTAATCAACATTTTTCTCCTTTCATATAAAAGGTATTCAATCTTGAATTGAAATCGACTTTGGAAGTCACCTCCAGTATCTTTCCGAAGTTGCCTTCTACTTGAGATCCAAATGGACCCTTAATTTTACTTTGTATCTCAAGTACATAAGGAATTGTCCTTGAATAATCTGGGATATGAATCATATGATGATTTCAGATTTCGAGTCTTGGGTTGTATGAGTTCTTTTTCCCCTCAAATTTCAAAGTTTTTAATTAAAAATTGATCATAGAAAATTTAAAAGATCATTTGTTTGTTAATATTTTTATTGATGAGTGTCAATTTTACATTTTCTCGTCGTAATATCCTGATCATTTTAGAGATTCCCATGTTGATTTTGAATTTTGATGTCTCTAATATATAGTTTGCATATTAATTATAATCTTGACTTCAACAGAAAGAAGAAGGCAATCCACAAGACAACAACAACCGACGACAAACGGTTGCAGAGCACCCTCAAGAGAATAGGAGTGAATGCTATTCCTACAATTGAGGAAGTTAACATATTCAAGGATGATGTTGTTATCCAGTTTCTTAATCCAAAAGGTACATTTAAGCTTTATTCCAGTGGACTTTTTACCTATAGTTTTCTCAAAGGTTTTTCAATTTTCACGGTATATTAAAGGCATAATGCCAAAAAATACCCTTAATGTTCGAGTAAACAGTCACTTTGGCCCTTATTCTTTTGTTGGAGCATTTTGGCTTTCAACGTTTCATTTTAAGGCAAAAAGGCCCATAACGTTTGAATAAATAGTCACTTTGGCTTTGTCAAAAAAATAGTCGCTTTGGCTTTGTCAAAAAAAAAATAGTCACTTTGACCCTTATTTTTTTTGGGAGCAGTTTGGCTCCCAAACATTACATTTTAGGGGCAGATAGACTAGAGTGTAGAATATTTTAATTATTGCTTACCTGTTGAATAAAACTAATCCCAATTTTAAAGGTTCTTGGAGGGACCAAAAAGAAAATGAGAGAGTTTAGGAGTCCAAAAGTCGGTTTGCTCCCCGCTGGAGCAACCTGGTCTGTTTTCGTCGATAATCTTAGCAGAAGAGTCAGTAGAAGAGCTTTATGGGAGTTGTTCAAACGCCATGGAGAGGTGAGTAAGGTCTATATTCCTCTTGTGTTAACAATCTAAACCCAAGATCATTTGCTTTGGATAATTTGGTCTCGTCAAGAGCTTCTTGGATTTGGAAAGGGATAGTTAGAAATCGCTTTTCTAGTGACGAGTTTGGGGACTGTTTTAGGGGGAACCTTCATCTCAGAGTAGGCAATGGTGATTCTATCTCGTTCTGCCACGATGCTTGGTTGGATGGTGTGCCACTGAAATTTCGCTTTCCTTGCTTTTTCATTTTATCGACTAATAAGGATAGGATGATCGTGGATTTTAGGAAGAAGTGTGCCTCTGGTTGGTTTTGGGATATCCAAATGAGAAGAAACCTTGCAAAATGAGAGATGGAACAATGGATTGAACTTAATTCTTTGTTAAGTAATTTCCATTTCTCGAATGGGTTGGAGGATAACTATGTTTGGACAGGGAAAGGGGATGTGGAAGTTTTTCAGTGAAGTCTTGCGTTCGACAAAGTTTGATAAGTCGGTTGTCAGTTTTTTTTAGTCGAGGAGTGTTTAGCTAGGGGTTGCTCCACCCCGGGTGGAATCCTTCGTGTGGCAGTTAAAATGGAGTTAATTAAGAGAGGGGTGCCTGGAGTCATGGTCCAATCTTGCCCACTGTGTGATATGTATCCTGAAACTGTGTACCACTTGTTTGTCATGTAATGTATTGTGGGGGATATGGATGAGCTTCTTGAGAATGTGGAATATTTCTTTTGTTATCCCAGAAAG